ATTTAGGAGTGTGTCCATTCCCCTGATCATCTTAATTTGTTATGCAAGGAGAAAACCAAAAGAAAAAAGAAGATAGAGACTTGAGGTGGGAAGGGATGAGTTTTAGGGGTGTGATAGTGAGGAAGGGAGTGAGGGGGAAGAAAGCAGAAGACAGAGAGTGTGAAGAGAAGATGGAAAGTTACCTTTCAAGTGAACCTAGAATAAAGAAAAAAGGGCATCAACTTATGTAGTTATGTTTAAGTTGAATAGAAATCTCAAATGTCACAATTTAGTCCATAGCTCAAAGGAGTTTATTTTATATTGCAAAAGGTAACACTAGTGCCACAGAGTGAAAGTGGATTGTAGTCTTTCTGTGGTCTAATCCATTATTTTTGTCAAACTCATAGTATATCTGGCTTCAATCTCCATACACCTGGGTGCTGGTAGCTTGAGAAAATCTGCTCAAAATATGGTCAATACATACTGGAAAACCTCCTCTTATCAAACTTGCAATGTTAAACTATTTTGTTGTGCATTTTCCTTTTCCAGATTACCAGCAGAGGCTAGACAGAACGATGCTGTTAAACATGCTCTATCAGTTCGAGCAGCTGTGTCCACTGGAAACTATGTTGCCTACTTCAGATTATACAAGACAGCTCCTAATCTTAACACGTGTCTTATGGGTGTGTTTTGTTCTGAATGGTTGATAATTTAACTATAGCATTTTTTTTGCTAAATTTGATAATGTGTACTTGTCTTTGCAGATCTATATGCTGATAAAATGCGATATGCGGCTGTTAGATGTATGTCTCGTTCAAATCGGCCTACTGTTCCGGTCACCTACATTGCCCAGGTTCTAGGCTTCACAAGTGTCGTATCAACAACTGAAGAAAGCGAGGACACAGATGGTGCTGAGGATTGTGTGGAATGGTTGAAAGCCCATGGTGCATGCCTCACTTCCGATAGTTCTGGAGAGATGCAGTTTGATGCAAAGGTGCGTTGCCTCCTGATTTATACAGAAGTATTTAATGCCAACCGCTCTACAAGTAGCATGGTATGGATGTGTCGATAGGTGACAATGGAAAGAAATAGCAAACAAGGAAAATTCACAAAGAAAATAAGAATAGACTAAGACAAGAGATAGAAAGATAGGATCTAGGAACCAAATTGATAGAATTCAGCCACAATTAGTATATGAAAATTATTACATCCTCTAACAATTGATCCAAAGATATGAAATTTACTAGAGGAAGATACACCTTCAATAGCAACCCAAGGAGTTCTTCAAGAACCCAAAAGGTCTCTATATAGAGCCTCACAAACATATCATTCAAAACTAGGTAAAAAATGCACATTACTCAAACTCAATACTACTAGCTAAACAATGGGCTTGGGCCCAAGTCCAAGTACTTAAGATAATAGAAGTGCTAACATAACAAAATCTTGGGCTAGTGGGACGTGTGGAGCCATGCTCGATTCATCCTAGAAACTCTAATAGTGGTCAAAACTTGGTCAGCTCGTAGTTAACACTGGTCTACCATGGTTAATATTGGTCAAACCCCTCAACTCTAGATCAAATTTTGTAAAGCCTTCTGGTCTTGTCAATGATGTATGCTCGTGTTATGCAATCAATCCGGCACATGTCACGAGCTCGAACCATGTCAATGCCTGGTAGTGGTGTTCATGGTTCGGTTTTGGGTTGGTTTGCCTCTAAAAGGAAACCAAACCAGTTAAGTCGGTTTTTCAGATGTTGGAATCAAACCAAACCAATTAAGTTGGTTTTTTCATCGCTTTAGTTTTTGTCGGTTAGTTCGATTTTTGCTGTTTTTTTAAATGCATGACAATATACCTCCAAGCACATATTAGATCAACTATTTTCAACATTTCATTACCAAATCAATTACTCTTTTAAGGGAAGAAAGAACTATATATATACAAGTTATATATGTAGCTTCTTTGAGAAAATTGTATGCATTGTCCAAGAATTTAGCCATTTAAAGGAACTTGATAAAACTTCTTACGTTGTGATTTACCAAGATATCTCGATGATAATTGAATTAAACAATGATGAATAATTAAAGGACTCACAAAGAAGTTATTTTGAACATGAAATAGAATCTTGTAATTATCAAAATAAAGACTACAACGGGAACTAGAAAGTAAAGGTAAATAATTTAATTAGTATAAAGCAAATACCTAGATTATGAACCAATAGTGCAATAAATATGTTGGAGTTCCACATTGGTGGGATAAGGGGTCCTTGGTTTCTTCTTATGGTCTTGGCGATTCTCCCGGAGCTAGCGTTTGGGGTTGAGTTAAGTCCAAGGTCCATTTAACATAATACTAGAGCAGGACCCATTTCAATTCAAATTTTCCGATGCTGGACCCCATATTAAAATTGCCCACGCTCCATATGTCTCTTGTGTGTGAGGGGTGCGCGTGTGAAGAGTCCCACATCGAGGGTAAAGGGGATCGGTGGTCTCTCTATATGGTTTGGACAGTCCTCACCTCATGTACGTACTTTTGAGGTTGAGTTAGGCCCAAGGTCCATTTCTTTATTATGGTATTAGAGCCCATTCCATCCCAATTCATTGCTTTAATGTTTTGTCTTATATTGTCCACGGTCCAAATGTCCAGCTCTGGGCCTGTGGGGTGGTGGGTGGGAGTGTTGGAGTCTCACATAGGTGGGATAAGGGTCCTTGGTCTCCTTATATGATCTTGGACAATTCTTTCTTCATGGGCTTAGCTTTTGGGGTTGAGCTAGTTTGTACCGTAAAATTTTAAAAATTGTGAATAAAAATACACTCTTCATAATTTTTAACTAAGGTATTTGTGTAGTCAATTTGATTCGGTTATTTATTCCTTCAAACCAAAACCAAACCAAATTGTCAGTTTTTAAAATTTAAAACCAAAACCAAAACCAAACCGAACCAAAAAATGTCTATTTCTTCTTTTGTTTTTCTGTTTTCCGTGAACACCCCTAGTACCTGGTATATATGTATAACGTAGAGGGATGGGCTCATACTGTGCTGACTTTTGAACCTGTGGGCTAATTGGGTTTCGGCCAGCTTACACACTGAGGATTTCTCAGTTATGAAATAAAAAAAGAATCTAAAACACCCGAGGATCACTCGTAACTGGTTCACAAAGTTCAGGTTCCTTTCTCCTTTCTGTTGGAGACTTTCAATATGAAAAAGAATTCTTCTGCAGTATTTATCCCTAGGGGTTGTACTTCATTCTTCAGACGACATTTTCTCGATTTTTCTTGTGTTGTTCCCAATCAGGTATAAATGGTTTCTATCTTCTTATTCTTCTGCTCCTCTTAATCTACTGTTCAAGAACCATTCTTCTAAATGAATATTTAGAATTATATTTCTTTCTTTATGAGATGGATGCTTTTAGCAACTGTTTATGTAGATCTGTTATGATCAGGGGATTTTATATTAGCACCTTAACTTGGTCCAAACTTTGTTCACTCCTTTTGGTTTTTCTCTTTTTTTTTTTGTTTTCTTCCGTGAAATGTTATACGCTGACAGTTCATTTGTTCCTAAAATGTGCAGGCATCTGTGTCAACTCTCTATATGCCAGAACCTGAAGATGCTGTGTCACATGGAGATGCCAGTCTCGCTGTTAATGATTTTTTGACACGAAATCTGGTGTAGGAACCTCATTCACTTGTTGACAATAGTGGGGGATCCAATGCTAGGACAATGCTTCTGCTCCAGATACAAGGGGAAAGTAAATCCAGTCCTGGGTATTCATACAGGAACTCGACAAGGTTCGTTTGATTACAACAATACAAAAGTCGGATAATTGTAAAACGTGTACTGCAAGAAGCTGTTTCTACTGGTGTGGGGGATGTATGTGTAATGGCCCAATCCTGTGGTTTAATCTCTGATTGGGGAATTCTTGATTCTTTTAGAGACAGCAATATACATAGAGATAGAGGGACCATAATCATAAGCAACAGCTACCTGTACTGTAGTTTGGATCCAGAATTGATGTATATTTGCTTACCTAGCCTACAGTTGTAAGATAGGTGATTCGAAATTCGCCGATTTTGTTGATCCGACATGTTAGGATTCGACAAAGCTTAATAATACCACTTTCTGTTTCATCCTTTTTTCTGTTGAACATTTCTGTTTATGTTGTTTTTCCTTCATATTTGCTTTACTAGAAAAGGCAAAATAATCAATGTGATTGAGTGATATGGAAGGAACCAACCATCAAGAGGTGCGGTGAGATGATTAGATTTCTTCCCCCTTTTAGCTAGAGGTCTCGAATTTTGAGCTATGTGAATGGATACTTCTTGGGCCCTATCTGGTGTGAATCTATATTAGTTGGATCGTTAATGTCAACTTGCCTGACTAATCTAGATTCTTAATTGGTAGGTTAAGTAGATATGTATTTAGGTGTAATCAGTATAGTTGCACCCTTTTTAATTTATTCCTTAGATTTGGTCACCAAGTCAATTGCTTTACCTTGAAAATGCCTTTTAAGATGTGTATGAATGTGGGACTAAACTTATTACCTTTTTCTGTTTCTTTACTTTTCTTGGTTCTTTTGATAGCAATTTTGTCTCTTTTATACAGAACTAGTCAACAACATTTTCTGCATCATAGTTTAGGTGAGGAATGAGACATGTGAAAATAAGAGCTTTCGTTCGTAAAATTTGTGGAAAATGTCAACTGATCCTTAGGTGGGGACGGGTTATAGTAATTTGTTCCAATTCGAGACATAAACAACAAGAAGAATATTCAGACTTGCTAGAGGAACGGATACAAATAAAGAATCTGTTTTGACATAAATATATAAGCATGAGTAAAAACCAAATAAATTATAAGGACTAGAGAATCCAATCCAACATAATTAGAAAATGCAAAACTAGGAACAACATAGGGGTTTTTGAGCTTCCGTTCATAAAATTTGTGGAAAATATTGAAGGGACAAATTATAGTAATTTGTTTCAACTCGAGACATAAACAACCATAGTGATAACAAGAAACAATCTATTTTGATAATGAAAAATGAGAAATCCTCAAGTTTACACTAGTGAAAATGCAAAGAACAAAAAACCAAGAATTACAAGTACCATAGAATCCAATCCAACATGAATATTAGACAAAGCAAAATTAGGAACAAATGATGGATTTTTGCTCTTTGAAGAAGGGGAAAATGAGGCCCCTCCCTCTGGTGATGGTGCAGGAGCAGGGGATCCTGCTGCTGCACCATTTACATTTTCTACATTTACGCGAAGTTTCATTCCTCCAAGACAATGTAACCTATTACCACAAACAAAGTATCTATCCCCTGGCTTTGTCAATGTGAAATTTGTGTTGCCATTTTTACTCGAATCGAGCACGTTGCTCGTGTTGCACCCCGCGAAATTCTCCTTCGTTACTTCGGACACACTATGTACCGATGAATATTGGAACACTGCGAAAAAAAAGAAGTCTAATCAAGGAAACTAAGATATTACTATTTTTAGGGTTATTCATACTCTTGTCGTTAGCAAATCGTACTTGACTTTAACGAAGCTCTAATGTGGGTTGGATGGATTCCACGTGGCAAAATATTTTGAATAAAAAGGTCCAAATTTGCTCTTTATTTTTTATTATGATCTAAAATTACCTCCGTTATATTTCATGTTGGAGCTCTGTTATAGTCAAGGGCAAACACACAATATGATTTACTATCGGAAATGCTATGAAGATCCTAAAAGTTAAGGTATTTCGTTGAGTTGAAGGATATTTTCTATCCTAATTTTTCCATGAACATTTACACTATCTGGTTAAGTTGACCTACAATAAAAAGTAAATCTATGTAATAAACTATTACGACCTGTAAAGTTGCGCGCGTTGATATTTTTTTTTAAACTATTAGTGTGTATAACTTAAAACTGATATTAAATATGATCGATGATACTTACCGAGTACATCTCCAATCATGAATTTCTTTCCTACTAACCATGTATCAAGATCAGTACTAATATCCCAGCCAGAACTATCACCCACAATGTAATTAGTAGCTGAACTTGAACATATAATTAGACTAATTAGAATCAAAACTACAAAAAATAGAATAGGCTTTGCCATAATTGTATTATTATGAGAAGAAAGATGATTAAATGGACATATATACATATTCACACACACACACATATATATACAACTATATATTATAGGTGAACTTATGATTAGATTACCTAACTAATAACTACATAAAAATTTAAGCTTATTTAGTTGAAATAGGTTATGACCATTGAGTTATGTTTTTTTCTTTTTGGTTTCCATTCGGCGTTCGGTATCCGTATTGGGTATAACTATATTCAGATTCATGCCGAGAAGTTCCACATTAGGAGTAAAACGCTCCCTAATAAAGGTGATTCCATACCAGAAAGCTCGAACCCGAGACTTCTGATCAATGATGAGTTATATTATGGACTAATGTGGATTATTCTAAGTTATTATTTAGATTTGAGTGGTTGAGAATAGATGAACTTCTTGGAAGGGTAGTTTAACACCTAACTAGATCTAATTTCTTTATTTTTTCTTGAAAAAATGTGATTATGGTTTCAACCAAATAGTGGATTCAAGATTTTTTTATGTACTTTGTTGGGTTTTATAATAAGTATGTGTTATGTTTAGCCGTGTCTTCACTGTTTGTGTCGCTTCATTTAAGCTCGATCAAACTCAATCTAATATTATAAAGATTTAATTTGCTTCTTTACACTAGATGTTCTTTGAAATAAAATTTCTGGTATATTAAGTATATATTAATACTAAAAAGACTCCTACCAATCACACATAGTAAAATGTGCAAAAATAATTGAAATTTAATCAAACTAATTTGTAATGTACAGATCTTTTTTCTTTCATTGCAGTAAGTCTTATCTATTACACATATTTTGTCGAATAGAAAGGTCATAATGGTGTTTTCTCGACTTCTATTGAGTATGAGTTTGAAAAAGTAAAAAAAGAAGAAGGTGGGCATTGTATGGTATTTATCGAATTATCATATCAATAATTTAATATCATGGTTTTAGTATTATGGTATACATTTTTTGTTTTGGTATTTGATACAATATTTGATATTTAAAAATAACATACCAAAATATCGAATACCATACTAAAGTATATAATCACATAAATAACATATGTATATTATTAAATACTAACAAATATGCAACCTAGTATTAGTATTTAGTATAAACTAAATGTTTAGAAGTTGAAACTTTGACTACTCTAGTATGGTTGAAATGTAATTGATTAACAAAAGGAGTTGTGTGTACTTTATTTTGAATATATATTTCTACATGTGTAATGTGTTAGTATGATATGATTGAAACCTTCTTTTAAATGTCGAAGTCATAATACTCTATTATACGAGTATATATTAGTCGAAGTTGAACAAACTATAGTTATCGATTTACCATACCATAAAATACTGAAATCAAACTTCAGTATATCGAACCATACCGAATTAAACTGATATGATAATAGTATAATTTTAAAAACTGAATACCAAAATTACAATATTAAAACTTTCAAATCCCGTGCCACATCATATCATGCTCACTCCTACCTCATGCTACAAGAAATTGAGTTACACTAATAACTATATTCAATCATAAGTTAAAAGGAAATCAACAAGAAACCAACAATATTGCATGTGATTCCAGCCTGGAAATATTCTTATTTAGGATGTTGAAGTATAGTGTGGACAATAAATAGACATATTACCAAAAGTTTCAAACATGTAAATGTTGCTATTATAATTAAATATGCTTATATGCCTGCCTATAATATTTTTGGTTATGAAGTTTTTAAAACATGTTTTGTTATATCATTTGTGTGGTTATAAAAATTATTAATTTAAATAATATAAAAAATATAGTGTTTTTTTTTAAACAGACTAATAAAGAATTATAATATCAAACAAAATACTATATTTCAATGAAAATATAAAATATTGATTTATTAATAAATGAAAAAAAAGCCAATTATATATTGGACAAGGGTACCCTACAAACCCCCAAAAGGTACAATCATGAAAATTGAGGAGATAAATGCAAAACAAAATACAAAGAAGAATATTGAAAATTGTGTGGTGTGTGGGGAAAAATACAAACAAATAAAGTTGCATAAAATAAAAATTCTACCAATTTCCAAACTTCATTAGTGCATTATGTAGTACATTCTATGGTTTTCCTACAAAAAATAGAAAAATAATTGTTAAAATGTCATGTCAAGTCGTACTTTATAAAACAACAATAACATATATAGTCGCTGAGGTTTGAAGAGAATGACACATATGCCTGAAGACCTATTCCTACCTTTGATGAGTAGATAGATTGTTTTCGATAAATCATTGACTTATGAAAATTATTTTCAAAAAAAGTTTGAAATTAAAACAAGAATATAAAAATGTCAAGATGAAATAATTGAGCATAATTTAGTAAAAAATCCATGCATGCAATATAATTGCTTTTGGCTGTCACATGATTTGCTTTAGAATAAGATGCATGAATATGAATAGTGACACATTTCTCTAATTTGATTAATCACTTTATAAACTCAATTTCTTAATTACAACACAAGTTCAAATTTCTTAAGTTCCATTTTTTAATAATTTCTGAGCTGATGTTGCTATTCACTAAAAAAAATTGGCGACAAATAAATTTTGTAGCTAAATAGTAACATATTTCGTCACTAATCCTATTTAGCAGATGTATTAGTGATAAATTATAAAAAAAATTGTTATCTACAAGTGATTTGACAAAGTTCATAACTATTTCTAGTTTTATTTTTTTTAATTTTTTATTTAGTGATTTACATGTTATTAACTATGATATAAGATTTTAAAAAAAGTTTTATAATGTTCATTAACAGTTTGGTGACCTACATGTGCATGGGTACTACTATTTGCTTCAAGCAAGCAACCTTCTTTTTCTTGTCTTGATTTTCAATTCCAACTACTTTGCACCAAATAAACTTTGACATATAATAATATAGTCAAATTGTCAAAAAAATACATTTTTGTTCTAATACAATCAAAGAGTACCTTCAAGTGTAAACACATTACAAAAAATAAAAATACATCCCAACTTAATTCATTGTTTAAAATTTAAACACAACCCTTAACGCGCGAAAACATATCCATCATAGAAGTAGTGAACCTATGTATCATGTCTCAAGCCCGAACTCGATCTGTATTCAAATTCTAAACTCATCGACTTTGAAACAATAATCAATTCATTAGACTGTCAAAAAATATTACATTTATTCTATTACAATAAAAGAGCACGTACTTCAAGTAAAAATAAAAACATGAAGAAAAAAAAACACATCGTTTCTTCAAAAAAATAAAAATAAAAAACAAACAAACATCCTTGTTTACAATTCAAACACAACCCTTAGCACTCGTGAAGATGAATCCATCATATGTATCTTGATCTGTATTCAAATTCTAGATTCACCTTTGATAGAGTACTCCCGATCGAGTATTAGTTTCATCACCTTCTCTTGTTCTTACTTCCAAGCAACAAGCTAAAGTAAAACAAAACCCTAAAGAAAAACCCCCATGCAATAGTAATCCACAAACAATTCCACTTACTTAAATCAGTAATCCCTTGTTGAACCAATATATCAGCCCCAGTAGTCACACATGTTGAACTTGTAATTTGGACATTTAATGTGTTACTCATTGTACTCAACAATTTTTCCTTCAATGCATTAGGCACATTTCCAAGTGGTGAATTATCAAACAATTGAATCCCTTTGACAAAACACTTTGTTGCATCATCAAATTCATTTTGTAACACAGCTTCATAAGGATATTTCACCAGAGATAGGTAGTGAAACCATATCCAATAAGGTGGAATCCTATCGCGATTGATGAAGAATCCTGAGAAGAGGAGGAAATAGGCTAGGATCGCGACCACAATGGTGTAACCTAACATGACACTAGGAACTACACCGGAGAGGAACGTGACAAATGAATTCCCTGCCCAGAAGGAGGCTAGTATTATCGCGAAATAGAACAAAAAGCCCGAAAATCCACCTACAAGGCCTACAGCCCAAAAAGTTATAGCAGCAAATGCAAAGCTAAGAAAGATCAATGCTGGCAAAGAAACTATAGCATGAGATAGACAATAGGAAGATCTCCTATAAGCATTATAAGCTGTCTCCCTCATGAAAATGTACCTCTCTTGGAGGAACACAGGCAACGCGTCCGCGCAAGTATAGAAAGTTGTTGACATAGCAAATGCAAAGAAACCAAGCCTTTCTTGAACCCCTTTAGGGGAATCATCAAGTTGCCAAAACATGGTAGCTAGGATGAACCCCGTTACCACGATTGCCCCTAGACGGATACCAAACAACTCTGGCACCCTCCAAGAATTCGTAAATGACCTCTTGGACAAGACAACCATTTCAATCCAAAATGGATTCGCGTAAGTTGGAACCATTGATGCTGGACTTGTATGAATATCACTCGTTGTCCCTGAAACCAACTTCCCTCTTGAAATACTCGCGCTAATCGCTTCTTTCAATGACAATCCATGAGTAGGTGTTAGGGTTCCAGGATTTTCATTACTCCTTTTAGTATTTTCCCATGTTTTGTTGAACTCAACCAAACTTTTTGTCCCTCCTGGGGACCCTTCTAGTTCTCGAATCAGATCCAGAGCAAACTCTGTTCGATTTTCACTATCTGGAATTGGGTGACCAAAATCAGCAAAAAAATGTGGGAGGTTCATAGGTGACCCACTATAAACCGTTTGACCACGGGACAAGAAGAGCATCCGATCCAATAACCCGAGAATTCGATAACTTGGCTGATGAATTGACATGATCACAATACTTCCACTTTGAGCAATTCGTTGAAGAACTTTCACCACCATGTATGCACTAGTCGAATCAAGACCTGAGGTTGGTTCGTCTAAAAACAATATGATAGGGTCATGAATAATATCAATTCCAATCGAAACTCGTCGTCTTTCACCACCAGACACTCCACGATGACCCTGTTCAAAATAGTAAATTTTTATTAAATGCATGTTAAAAAAAAAAATATGATCAGTTTGTAAGCATCCATCGATGAAAAATTATATTCTATGTATAACGTTAC